TATCACATACTATAATAAATAAAATTTTTCTAATTTTTATTAGAAATATTTTAAATATTATATAAATCTAATATAAAAAATAAATAATATATATAAATTTTAAAATAAATATATTTGATAAGAGATATACTGTATACTGTATGATACTCTCTATAGTAAAATTAATATAAATAAAAATTAAATTAGAGTTAAAATTAAATTAAAATCTTTACAAAGACAGTCAGAACACAACTCTTCCTAATGATCACTTGTACCAATCAGTTTCTGAAAGCAAGTTGAAGACTCAAGACCAGAAGTGAACAAATAACTTGAAGTTCTCTTAATACGAACTATTGTCGACAAAGTCTTAAATGTGATATACCGAGAAGCAGGTGTTTTGGACGGTTTGCAAAAGGATCAAGCCTTTTTGCTTCTCTTTCTTTCTGGGTAGACTCCCTTTTGCATTCGGCATCCAAACCGGAGGAGTCTCTGAGAACAGTAAGTAGAAGGAGGACTCAAGTTATTTTGGGAACAGAAGGCTATAAAGAACTCTTGGAACAACACTCCTTGGTTGGAAAACTCACAAAACTATACTTTTCTTTTGCCATTTTCTTTTTTCATAATTTTTGATAAAAAGTAGGAGATTTGGCTACTCCTCTCCAAAAGATCGGTATTGTTTACATTTCTATTTTCAGAAAGTCTTGAGTTATGATATAACGAATAAAGAACACAACAATCATGTATGAGGAGGAAGTCCTATTTAGGTTAAATCAAAGTATATGGAAGTTCCGTGTTGGATCAGCTTTGACTATACAGAAATGAAGGCCTTATACAATGGACCTGAGGAAGTAGCTTTTAATGATGCCGGTAGACCATAGAGAAAACCTCCTGTTTAATCTCATATAGCGAAGAGGCAAGGCGTGTTATGAAAACTGTTAGAGGATTTTGTAATTCAAAAAGAGCGGCTTAGCATAAATAGAACTGACGATCACGTGTCGAGGCTTTATAATCAGCGTTCTAGGATTCAAGGTAGATTTTATGAGAGTTGTAAACTGAAACAATATAATAGAGATATGTAGTTTTCCGAAGTCATATGCATATAATTTTTAGCCTTTGGCACAGGTTAAAGTGCATTTTATTTCTTAGTTTCTTTTTGTCAGATAGCTCTATGTATAGATTTCTACGACTATGTAGATAGTTTTTTTACCTGGTTAGCAGGTTTTTATATCTGTAGACAAGTTCTCTTAGATTTTAGGATAATTTTTTTGAATTCCTTTTTAGTTTGATCGCTTTCTTATATGTTTTAGTTTTTTTTTACTTTTTCTATTTTCATTTTTCCCTTACCTCTTTTTTTTTTTTTATACTTTTCTACGAGAAAGTGTCATCAGATTGGTGACACTCTATTGTAGAGCAGTGATTCTAACAAGGTCAGTGCTTCTATCTGTTGAAGTCCGGGTTTACAGTCTCAGTAAATTGAGGTTCCAGATAGAGAAAAATTGTTACTTAGGTGGGTCACTCCTGGGTCATACTCTAGCGTAAAAACTCTGGGCTTTGGCCGTAGTTTTTACTGCAATAATGAGACAGATCGAGAGATTCTTTATTTGTATAGGAATATAGTAGTATTAATGACTTGCATGTAAGCCTAGCTAGCTGATAGCATATTTGTAATCTATTTCCGATAAATAAAATAAAGGAAGGATCGCTAAAGTAAAAAAAAGTAAAAAAATCTTTACAAAGAATATTTTTATTAGTTACACAACAGAAGTTATCCTAATAAAATTTTGAGATATTAAAGAAGGTATACTGAGTGCAAAATATACTAAAAAATAATGCTCTAAGTTTTAATATTAAACATTTTTAATTAGAAGTTTTTAACTTTTATAATTTGTTTTTGTTACACAAGATCCTGAGATTTTATTAGGAATTTTATAGTCGGAGGTCGATTTTGCTTGACATAAGGGTACCTCATAATACACAAATCAAATTTCAAGAATCAAGTGTAACGTAACACAATCTCATAAGAGGAAGATCGTTTGATTGGCTAATGCAAATCAATTGCCCGGGTAACTTATTTATACATTTTAAAATACTTTTTAATATAAAGTTTCACTAATAAAAAAATCGCGACAAAGCCATTTCTAGCTTTAAACAAACGCTATATTTACTGTGCAAAATAATCTCAAAATCTTAAAATAATATTAATTCCGACGAACCCTTGCTTAGAAGACAAGATATGCCTGCCATTTATTGAACAATCTTAGATTATACTGAAATAAAAATAAGTGGGAACGTTTTTGCTCAAAATTGCCTTATTATATTAGATTAAAAAAAATTTTATTACTAACTATTGAATTTGAGTAAGAATAGATTTACTGTAAAAGAAGTTCCGGGTTTAATACTTGAATATGTTTAGTTCTTGTGTTGTGTTTGGGTTCGTAATAAGTTTTGGTTTATAGATCATAGATTGTATTAATGAGTTTGGGTTTATTAATAATGAATACCGCCTTTACTCCACTTAACATGTATTTATCTATTGAAACATATTAATTCTTTTGCATATTTGTTTAATTTGTAACTTCTTCGTACGAAGTTTCTTTCGCTTTCTAGTTTATTAAAGCGATGAATTTTTTTAAATTTATGTAGTTTGATTGGCTAATTATAACGGGTGATAAAAATTAGCCAATTTAAAGATCGCTTATTTCTCAAAAATCTGCGTAAAAAACCACCTTTAGTACTTTAACAAAAAGTTTCCCTTGAGCGATTTTACTCTATAACCACCTATATCTCTAACCTTATTCTAAACGCTAAGGCCATATAAAAAAATTATTTTGGTTTTCATAACCCGGCCGGGTCAAAATTTGAAAACTTGTAAAAAATTTTTTTTATGTTTAATCAAAAAAAAATAAATTTATATATATAAAATTTACAGCTGTTTTCATAATAATTCCTGGGACACTTGTAAAAAATTAGCCGGATGATTTTTCGCCGATCCGGTTAAGTTATTATTTCGGCATAACGATAATTTTTTATTTGAATCTAAATAATAACTTACCCGGATCGGCCGAAAAATCATTCGGATAATTTTTTACAGGTGTCCCAGGAATTATGAAAACAGCTGTAAAAAAAAAGCCGGCTGGCCGGCCGGGTCTGTTTAAACTAGAGTTCCAATCCGGATAAACCCGTTATCCATATCTGAATTTATCCGGATATCGATATCCATTTACCCACTACGGAATTCCCTTATGTCAAGCAAAATCGGACCTCCGCTCCGATCTGCCATAACATTAGAAATTTTATGATTTTTGATATAAAAGAACATGTCCTATAATTAAAATTTCGCTCTGAGCATTTTTACTTAGAGGCCGGAAGGTGGTTGTCATAGTAAAATTTTGGGTTAGCTACGACATCTTGGGTTTTCGTCATTGTTGTTGTTACACAGGGATCCTACAATTTGATTGGTTCCGGACCTATGCAGAGGGTCCATTTTTGCTTGACATAAGGGAACCCTTTACTACGTATTGATATCCGGATAATCTGACAAATATTCGGACAATTATCCGGATATCAATAGTAAAACGGATATCCGAATAAATTCAGATCTGGATATCCAATATATAAATAGATAAACGGATAATGGATAGGAACTCTAGTTTAAACAGTTCTATGTTATGAAAACCAAAAGAATAGCCTAACCTTAACATTAGTGAACTTTTAAAAATTTTGCTGCGTCACAGATTTTTTGCTTGCGATTTTTAAATGTCTTTCAATTATACGGTTTCATAGCTATATTAGTTTTTTTGACATCAAAAGTTTACGTATTATACATTGGTTAACGCTGATTGGCCGAATTTTGCAGATCGGCGCGCTGTTCGGGTAGAATCTACTTTGAGCAGGGTACTACTTAGTGAAGTTACCCTGTCCGTAGACATTCAACGTTTGATAATTGGCACGTGAGAGACCTATATAAATCTGATAATCTAAAGTAATCTTTTTCATCAGAAATGGATAACACACTTCCCACCCTACAGGAAACAATAGCGTTAAGAGATTCACTAACAGCTAATCTTGTTCAGACTTCAGAGGACCAAACAAACACTTGCTTGGTTTCACTCGTTTCAGCAGCCATTACGACACAACCTGAGGGAACAAGCGATAATAGCACGAACAACAAGCAAGGTTACTTAAGTCATGGCTCTACGTTTACAAGCCATACCGATTTTGTAATAGCGGTCCAGGAATATGCTATACGAGAAGGTTTTACGATGAGACTCCATAAATTAAAAAGGAACAAAGCTGGTGCCGTACGATGGAGAGAAATAGTTTGTTCGCGGAATGGAACTTCAAGTAAAAAAAAGGAAAGTGGTAATAAACCAACGCGTAATCGCCGATCTCAACGATGTAAATGCCCATTTTTAGTTCGTGCCGCTGTGAATGGTACATCAGGATTATGGGAGATTATTTCAACAAAGTTAGAACACAATCATGATATCGGAAACACAGCAAGGTCAAATGGGACAAATCAGGGTTATGAGAACAAGCTAGATGCATGATATGATGCCTTCTACGTTTAATGGTTGAGCAGCTATAATTATACGTTCGTATTGACTTTATGAAATATGGAACACAATTACAGTTGGTTTAATCTATAAAATTCAAAATTCTCAGTATTATACATAACTGAATGTGCATTTTAGATTCTGAAGAGTCTAATCCAGTAAAAGCCTATTCATTGAAAATAATGTAGCAAGGACATTAGTTGCAAATCCAAACTTCTACTTATATAAAAATCGATAAATACGGTGATTTGAAACATATATCTGATACTTAGTTCAAGTTGTCTTGTGTAAACTTTCAAGTTTAAATACAGTAATTATTGATTGCTAAGATTGGTGTGAAATTAATCAGCATCTTCACTTCAAATATAAAAATTTTGATAGGATAATTATTACCATGCTCCTGTCCCATCCCAAGCGATCCCATGTGTCTTTTACATCTCGAAGAGTTTTACTCTTTATTCTATCCAAATCTTCAGTTATCCTCTGTGGCAATCTCGAAATTTCTTTACCATTCTTGAGCAAAATCAACGTAGGAAGGTCCAAACTAGTAGGAGATAACGAAATATCGTATTCTTCAGCTAGCATAGGATATTGATCCAAGTCGACTTTGCCAAAACAAACGTCTGGAGTCGTATATCTTATAATGATTAAAGGTTAATGATTTGATTATTCTCAATAATAGCCAAAAAATCAACCTACATTAAAGAAGTTTTTGCCACGGTGGGCTCAAAATTTCTGCATGCATCACTCCATAGAACGTAAAAGAAAATCACCCAATATTGATCATTGTCAGTTTTTTCTTTTCTTTTATTTTTTTTATCGTGATAATTGTTATGTTGGATATCGCGCAAATCTTCAGTTGTTAATTGTATTATCGCTGAACGGCCTTGGTACGTTGGTTGAGGCAAAGCAGCGAATAGCACTAAATTATATTTTAAACCATTTAGATCAGTGACAGAGCAAAGTGCGCCAAAATAAAAAATGTACATACCAGTCCATACTATAGCATATAGGATTGACCACAATGTTTTACTGAACAAATAAAACATAATTACATTTAACAATTTTAATGCAAAGAAAGTTATTGATAAGAACCCTTCGGCACTGCTGGAAGATCGAAATTTTAATATAATGAAGAATAAAATAATAGCGTATATATATTTTTCAGATGATGGCTTTAAAGACGAATCTAGATAACGAAAAGAAGCATATCGAGCAACAAAAAAGGGTAAAATATAAAAGAAATTGACAATATAATGAGGTAAGAAAAGACGCTGATAAAGATCTGACATAAGTGCCATCGTAAGTGTGGGTAAGTTCGTTTAATTAATTGAGAATGTCAGAGGATTTTTAACCATGCATCTGCGTCACATAAGTGTTGCACAGTGATCTCTCGCATTCTTGATGTGGGGTGACTTATTAATTTTCCCACGCATTTAAAACCCTCCTTATACTCAATCACGACTAAATAATAGTTGTTTATTTATCAAAAAGATGGCCTGGTTTTTGGTACATAAAGTGAAATTTCCGAGATATTCCACAAGTACTGATCCTTCTTTCTACCTTCATAATATACATATTCTTTCCAAGTATTTATTGGCCAATTTTCGGAGTTTTATTAACAAAGTTTATATCGTTGACTAGTAATATACCTAGATCTAGCAGTAATATGAACTGTTCTTGGGAACAAATACGAAGGGAAATTAGAGCTTATCGTAGTTCTGTTAACCCTTCCAACATCGCGAATATTAAAGATTTCTGCTTTGATGAGAGAAATAACCGCGCTTATTTTCTAGCAACCGATCCTTCGCGAATGAAAGCCTCTACTTTATTTATGGTTGACTTACCACCTTTAAAATGTAAAAAAGAAAAGGTCGAATTATCTAATAAATTTCGTGACTCTACATTCAGCTTTACTAATAACAAATTTTATGCGAAAGGTAAGCTCTTATACCAAGAATGGCTTAGCTTTTATTTGTTGGTTAATTGCCCTGATTAGATGATTAGAAAATCTACTTTCGTTAATAATCGCTAGTTTCACGACTTTCTCTTTAATCTGATTCAATAATGATTATTCTTTTAATAATATGCAGTCATGACTGATTAAATATTCATTTTTTATAGAATTTTCTTTCACTTTTTGTTCATCGATATCACATGATACATCTGCTCACTCTGAATCTATCAAACCATCGAGTTTGGACAATTTTTCTTTCATGGATTTGTCGTCTGTGAATAATAAAACGCCATTTAAATCGCATCAATCTAGTGCATTACCAAAAATACCTACTGTGGAATGGAAACCATTACTTCCAGAATCATGTCTAAAAGAAAAACATTTTTCAGAGACGTTATCTCGGGAAGAAATGTTTGTAAAAGAGCGAAGGAGGTTAGCTTTACAGGGAATCACTAGCTATCAATTTGACTCTCGAAGTGGTCAGATATTATTCAATTACGGGAGTGGGATTTATTTGGGACATGTTAGCAAGGTGAATTAATTATAGAGAAGATATATTACATAAATCAGATATTATTTGATCCATATTACTAATATTGATT